CCTCAGTGGACACCCAGGCCCCCCCCTCAGTGGACAGGCTGTTGGCAGGGTGGTGTTGTGGGTCAGGACACGTCAAGCCTCGGCAGTCACTGTAATGAAGTTCTCGTCATGTATGAGATGTATATGATGTTGTATGAGGACAGGTCGGGGGATTATAGGATGCGGATCATCTCCAGTACTGGAGGTTTATGGGTAATAACGTTTTGAAGTCAGACACAGAGCAGAATCTGCATGGAGAAGCTCTAATAATCCCAGTGGCCCTCACGTCACTTCCTGCGGGTAAAGCGGGCCCCCGGGGGGAGCGGACATCTCTCACCTTGGTGATCTTAAGGAACTTGGTGGGGTCCAGCACTCGGCTATTCTTCGCCCCTTGTACGGTATTCCAGCCGCCCTCCTCCACTCTCTGGACTCCTGTAGAGCACACACCTGCCCGGTCAGCACATGTAGGCCAGGGGGGAGGAGCTCGGGGGGAGGAGCTAAGGTCTCACCTGGCCTCCGCTTCTCTTTGGTCATCAGCTGCTGGACCTTCCTCTGCTCTTCCTGCTCTTCGATCTTGGCCTCTTTGTGGATCTGCTCGATGGTTTTGGGTCCTTGGTCAGCTCTTCGCGACACCCAGTTGCACTGCCAGGAGTGGAGACAATTGCTCATTGGTGGACAATAAGATGGGACGGCTTAGCAACATTGTGCGATTAGTGACACGGAGGGGGGGGGGGGGCGAGGTGACACGATACGTACTGATCACGGCACGTGTGGCCACCGGTGTGATCTGGTGATAATGGCTCTCTGATGGTAGATGAGGACTGACCCGAAGAGTCCGATTCAATGGGTACCAGGCTTCCAGGAGCCGGACTATATATAGGAATATCTCCAGAGCCTCCAACCCAGAACACAGGTCACATGTTCTCATCTAACGTATGTTGGGTCACCAATTCACCACGGCGGCCCGTGCGTGTCTCGTATCGCCACGCGCTGGCAGAATAGAAAGACGTCCCCCTACCCGTCTCTGGTCTATGACGTCCTGCAGCATGAATCGGATCCGCGACGACGTCTTCCTCTCCTTCACAATCTTCTCCATCTGGTGGAAGTACTGGTCCATGCGTGGCTGCAATACAAGGAGGAGAGGTCAGGCACAGGGGGCGCCGGCCCGGCGTAGGGAGAGCAGCGGTCACCGCGCACCGATCACGTCATCAACGCTCGGGGAAGTCTAACAACCTGCGTGTCTGTCCTCTCCTTGGCTCACCTTCGCCTTCTCAAAATCCAGGTCTTTGCCAATGGTGGTGAGAAGGCGGCAGAGACATTCCAGCGACTCCTCGTCGTGGTTCTTCAGAAGTTTCACCACGCAGTCATGCATGATGGCCTCCGTCAGCATCTTCAGCTTGAACAGCTCCCCAATGAATTTGATGTTCCCGATAGACCGCCGCCGGGCTTTGTCCCGGGAGTCCTCCAGCTCGTCCTGGAGACGGCTCTTCTCTTCTGGCTGCAGAGAGACAAAAGTCCGAACGTGAGACCCAAACGGGCAGGACGCGGGATGGGGGCGACTCTTCTCTTCTGGCTGCAGAGAGACAAAAGTCCGAACGTGAGACCCAAACGGGCAGGACGCGGGATGGGGCGACGCGGGATGAGGGGACGCGGGCTGAGGGGACGCGGGATGGGAGGACGCG